TATCGGCAAGAGTTTGCGACTTCAAATTCAATTCAGATCAACTAAATATCGAGGTATTTCCAAGTGAGATTAAATGAAACCTTAAACAAAATTGCAGACACATGTTTTCATACTGATACTCGTTATAGATGAAAATGTTCAGTTATTTTCGGTTGGTAATAACAAGTAACAAAATACATTTATGTTCGATTTATTTGGGTTGATCATAATGGTAAAATCAGCGCAGCTCAATGACCGACTCTTTGATCAAAATAATATAAAATGATATGTCTCCTCGGCCAGAAGGGTCCAAATCTTTAGAAAAATGGAAACGAGTAAACAAAAATGTCATTTTAGGCCATTCTCATGTTCAACTTCAAGAACGATTGTAGATAATCTTCGGACGATCGATTGTTGAACTTTGTCAAAATATGTACTAGATCCTCGGAGAACGGTACATCCAAACCAAAAAGTCTTTATTTTTTGTAATTTAACAAATTTCGACGCGAGCGTGTCATGACGTTCCATTACTTAAGTGCCAATTGGTTTTCTTTAACAACGAACAATGTCATTAAACAATTTTTCTGTTAAATGGCCATCGTAATTAATGGACATAATAATGGCTTGGGGAAACGTAGGCTCTTTGGGTCAATTTTATCCGTTAATTAACCGATTTATTGTGTCATGAAGTCATTTTATGGAAATTTGATTCAATTCCGGATAGGCCTTTATATCAAAAAGTTACTAATTCTTAAAGAGGGTACAGTTTTTTTTCTTGATTTGACGGAATTATTCCAACTGCTGATATTTGCTTATAATCTATGATCATGCTCTATAACAAAACTGGTTGTTAAGTGACTTACATTTTCCTATAAATGGAGGTGGCTTTACGCGCTACATCATATTTTAGGTTTATAGCTTTTGATTTTCCTTGGGACTGATGGATTCAATTGTATTTCGGCTCGTAAAACAGAACGTGGAGTCGCGTGTGTAGTAAACCGCTGAATAAATCCCGCCGTATCACCCACTTTCGACGCCGTTACCCCCCGAAATATGGTTGGTTCATGACGGTTGAAAATATCGAAAAGTCATCTTTAAATTTCTTTAAAACGTGAAACGTTTCCACAAAACTGTCATCAAAGTCAACCTTATTATACGCGCTTGCGAGGAAATTTAAATAATTCATATTTTTTGTGTAAAAGTACAAATTGTAATTCGAGAAGATCTTTGCGTTGGAAAAATTTTGATTGGTTCACAAGGAAAGCAAAACCACCTGGAGTCCGGCAAATAAATGGATTATCTTTGAAGAATGACAATTCAAATGGAATATTGTGCTGTTTTGACGTTTATTAACACACTAGTCAAAGAATTATTAGCATTATATTTCTGGTGTAGTTAAATTTATATTTTCCTTCTACCCGGTTCATGACGCATAACCTACACTGATTTATCTTGTGAAAAACTGCCAATTATATTATGTTGCGCTATAAGAATAATCGTAAAATAAAATGCGCCAGTTCCGTCGATGACTATTCCTCCAAATTCACGGTTTGGCTACTGGAGTGCGAAAATACAGGACTGGGACATGACAGACTGATTTATGATTTTTCTTAAAAAAGAAACTATTTTAGCTGGAAGATAGCATTACTATATCACTCAAAATCATAGTAATTTAAAATTATTTTATTTATTAAAATTGTAAATTTTAATAATGTGGAATTTCAGAAGACTAATCTTAGCGCGAGGTTATGTTAAACCTTTTACGATTACAGATGCCATTTATCTTGGACTAAAAAATAACACATAGTTCCAGGTTTTGGTACATTTGAGAGATTTTCCTAACCAATCTCATCATTTTTTTGATACTTGATATGTTTTTGAGCTGGATACTCAATTTTTTTGCATGATCATTTTTGCATTACCAGGAAGAGCGCATGCGGTAGGTTAGAGGTAAATTATGTTAGGATGGTTGGTATTAGGTTAGACTATGGTTAAGTTTCGTTGGGTTAAGGTAATGTTATGGTTAGGTTGGGTTAGGAAGGGTTTGAGTGGTGGCTATGGACAAGTAAGGTCAAATAGAGTTGTTTTAAGTACAGTTAGTGTTACAGAACAGTTAGGTTAAGTAAGGCTCTATCCTCTCTAATTATAGACGTCTTAGGTTAATCATTAGAAATAATTGAAGTGGGGTGAGTACATAAATTCATTTTTTGTTAAGAATATTTCTATTTATTATATTATATTTACGCGTAAGTAGCTCGATCCTTTTCAAAAAGTAGGTTAAGTAAGATTACGGTTATTGACGATTAAGGTTAGATAAAATTAGAGTTTTCGATGGTTTAGTTTAAGTTGATATAGGTTTTTGGATGAGTTAGGTTAGCCAGAGCTAGAGTTTTCTAAGGGTTAGGCTAGTGGAAATAAGGTTATGGACGGGTTAAGTTAAGTATAGTCGGGTTTAAGAAAGGCTTCGCTTAGGTAAGGTTAGCGTTATTTAAGGACAGGTGAGGTTTCATATCCATGATTCAATATTTTTCCGTGACGAACAAATACAAGTGCGATATGCAAGTTTTCCGTTGAGCATACATCAGTCTAGTTCATTGGGATTTCATCATTTATGATTTACATCTTGCTTCTTGCTGCTTCTCTGTCTATTCATAATTTCCTATTATCCTTGAATGAACCCTTTTATTTACCCTTTGAAAGATCTTTTTGTTTAAATATTCTTCTCAATTTTCCCTGAATTACCGATATAAGTTAAGAATGATTTTAATGGTAGGTCATTAGTTTTGCTACATTTGTATTAAAGTGACAATAATTTTAATAGTTAAACTATTTGAGTTGTTTTTATGTAGGGATTAAAAAAAAATGTTTATCAATGAATGAAATCCGCCATATTTGCTCAGAGAAAAAACTATAGGATATGTTGAAAGAGTAAAGCAAATAAGATTTTCAGCGTCCTTCAATATTTTTACCTAGTCTTTTTTGGTCTAAATCAAAAATTAACTGAGGTACTTGGATGTTGAATGGCGCGATTTCAACAACGTCGCACCTCCTCACACATTTCCGAGGGAATAGCGACCCCCTGAAATATACTGGAAATGGCCATCCCTCTAGGGGGTTAGGGATGGTTTGGGGGGTTAGGGTGGTGGCTGTTTACCAAATAAAAACACCGCACTGGCTCACAGGCCTTTCGACCAAACCACAGTTGGGAATGGGTTCAAATAAATGTTAACCTTGAAAGAGTTGTTAGTTCAACCGATAAGTTCACCTAATAGATGATTTTCGCATCTGCTAAAATTAAATTTGTATAAATAAATTGTTTATTTATTATTCGCAACGAACTGAACGGATATGTATTAGCCTGTCAATTGTTTGTGTAATAGACTAAACCCATAAGACTTGTGGGTGGACCCATAAGTAAGTGTTGGTCTTTAGTACTTTCTACCTTAAACGCTATCAGCTAAGAAATTTCTAATTGTTTTGAAACTCCATTTTTACTCGCTTGGTTTTAATTGTGATTTTTTTCAAGATAGTCTCTATTTACTGACACAAATCTGTCTTCTAAGCGCATCAAATTCTAACATTTTGCTGTATATGAACAGTTATTCATGGTCATTTAGTTTTCACAAAGAGATGCCAAAAAGTGGTCAATTTTGGAAAATGAAAAAGATTTTCTTAAAATCTCGCATGCCGGTTGCCAAAAATCGCGATTTTTTACTTTTTTTGCACCAATCTAAATTTCAGAAAATGTTCGCACATTATTTTGTTATTTAAAAAAAAATATACTTTTATTGTTGGGTGCTTTTTTGCACATCCGCTATTCGATAAGGGCGCTACATAAAAGTAGAATTCACCACATCTTATACTTATCAATCACAAAAATCTCTCTTTTTGACGCTCTCTATCTATCTCTATCTCTATCAGATGTCTTTCTGGTTCTTACACTATGTATATCTGTCTAACGGTCTTTTTTTTCCGTTCGTCTATCTGTCTCTCTTGTTCTCCCTTTCTCTCACACTCCCTCTCTCTCTCTCTCTCTCTCTCTCTTTTCCTCTCTCTCTCTCTCATTCATGCTCACGCTTCTTATCTGTTTGCCTTTCTGTCGATGTTGCTCTCTTCTTGCCAGCATGTTTGTCTTTTCTCTCTCTCTCTCTCTCTCTCTCTCTCTCTCTCTCTCTCTCTCTCTCTTTCAATGTCATAAGCGGTTTTGTAGAAATCGTTATCGGAGTGGGAAAATTATAACTTTCAGAAACGATTTACCGATCAGGCACGAAGTTTTACCGTTGCTTTAAGTTTTCTCAACTTTACACCTTCTACACGATTCATCTTGTAGTACGTGTGAAGCCGATAGACGATATGTTACCGCGGATCACCATAACCATCTCTAAGCAACCTTATCGTAGGGTGGAACAACTCATGTTCCAGTCAATTTTTTGATCGGTTATATTTTATTTTAATATACTATTTGTTAGACAATTGTTCTATGTTCCAATTTGTTGCTCAAACAAAAAGAAATCTACCTGCTGATCATTCATGACCCAGAAACCATGATTCGCAACTTAAAAAAAATTTTATGCGTCTGTCAGCATGCGCGTCTCTAAATAAAACGTTTGTAAGATAATAAAAATATTAATTATAACTACGGATTTTAATACGTTTTTAAATTTTTTGTTGTTTTTCTTCAGCTTCGCTTGTTTTTCTAGTGCCCTTTTGCCACTATCGTGCGTTGGTATTTAATGAAAAAGAAGGAATTGTTATTATTCGGAGATCGTGAGATGCGGTCTGGTGAGACGTAGGTTTTCGAAAAACATTTTCTTTATCGTGCCAACGTTTCGATTTTTATTGAGATCATCTTCAGGGTTCAATATGTTTGTTTTCCGTGTAGATTGTCCTTCTTGTCTGTTGTGTTGAGAGTCTGTAGTGTGAGGAAAATAATTTTTATTTTAAAAATAAACTTGTTTATTGATCATAACAGTTATTTTTTTGCGTAACAGCGGATAATGCAAAAGGATTTTTTGTTCCAGATGCGAAGTACGACCCGGGCCGGAATACCTGCTCAGGTGGCACTGGTACTCGGAAAACGGGACTTACACGCACAACACTTTCGTGTACGGTGACGAAGGCTGTACCAAAGCACTGTGGAGCCGCTGCATCAAAGGAAAATATGGTCTCAGAGGGAAATCCTGGCTTACACAAGGTGCGAGTCAAGTGGATTTCAACCTGGATGAAGTCATGTTCGTCGTCTACAGTACATCTGTGAGTATCGACGCATGGGTTATATTAAACTTTAGAATATTAAATTCACTAATTTCGTGGTCCGCTTGACCAATTAATACTTTACAATTAATTTAATATTTAGTTACCACCAATACCAATTAATCTTTAGAATATTTATTTTACCGTCTTTAGTTTTTAATTAACAATCATTTTACATAAAAATACATAATTGATAGACATCACAAATCATATATTGTTAAATTGATTACTTAAAGTCCCACTCATCCTTCAACAGGAATGTACAATTTTTTTCACTTTCCTCGAAACATGAGTCGAATACAGAGATGGTCAATCTGTTGAAAAACCTCCTTCTATTAGTATATTGTCCAACCAATCTTAATAATTTTTCCAAGATGCTATTAGGTTTGAAAATTATCAAAATTTTCTATTTTATTTCATTTTGAAAAATTAATTATATCCTTTCTGTTCTTTGTAAAGTCAAGGCCAATAACTTTCGACAATATTTTTTTTTTCTTGTTTTTATAAAGGAAGTGTTTTTCTGAACGTGTAAATTTACAGTAAACACGAATAAAAGTTTAAGTGAAGCTTGAGTTAATTGTCCAGTTTGTCATTAACAGGCCGCCTTTGAATAGTGAAATTTTCCCAGCCGTGCGGAATAGAGTGCCGGGAAATTCGGAATATCTCTTATGAAAAGCCTTTATGTAAAAATTGAATATAAATGGAAATTAAACTCTATGAAGAGGTTGAATACAACCCATAACAAAGTGCCTTGAGGGACTCGTCTACCATCTAAGAGGCAAGTCCGGTGAATTTCCCTTCCTTTTTAATTTTATCAGGACAATCGACATAATTAACTAGAAAAAACTTTTACATTGCATTTTGTAACAAGGTGGGGATGTCGGATCGCGGATTTTAATTAAACCTTTTTTATGATACTCGGTCGGAAAAATATTAGAAGTGTCCGAGTCCTTGCCGATGGGCACTAAAAACTGAGAAAAAATGTTTTAACTAAATTATTTTTGTAAGGTTGCAAGGTTCGTTTTCTTTTTATGTAAGAAAAATAATAAGGGGAGAAAAGCGAATGAAATGCGACTAGTTATATAAAAATTTAAAAAAAATGCATTCAGTACAGTAAGTCAAAAAATATTTTAGTCTCTAAATACGAATTTTTATTTAAAATATAGACAGTTTTTCTTATTCAGTAACGGGAATTTTTTTCATTTTTGGATGTGTGATGTTTTTATCCAAAGTCAACGTTATCTAACAGTTGACGGATTAAGCCAATGTTCCTCAAACATTTTACCCCCAAGAGTTTTGTATCATAAGTACACATATGTTTGAGAAACATTGTATAGCAATCTTTTGTAATTACATGGAAGTTTGGATGGTCTGTCTAGTAGTGGTAACAATAGTTTCTTATGTCTGTTTAAAGCTTGTAAATATGAATTTTGGGCGAAAAAAGGAGACTTTTTGTACTTGATGATCCAGGATCAATTTTTTTCCGGTGTGAACTTCTACTTATACTGTTATAACGCGCCTGGATTTTATCAAATGTGCAGGATAATGCAACCATTTGAAAGCTGGCTTTTCTCTTTAAAATTGTTGCAACATCTGTTAGTGTTTCTGTTATTAAATTAAAGATTATATAGAAATTAAAAAATTTAAATATTAATTAAACAAAAACAGCTTGTATTTTTATATCACCAGTTTTTTTGTAGTAGAAATGGAAAAAAACCGCTCGCTCACTGAAATTAATCGTGGCTCACCGTTCGCGCCCACCAAATCTATTTTCCACTTATTCCAAGAGTAAACTTTAGCAGGTTGTTCGAATTTCAATATACGGGGAGCTGTTAGTGAAGATATACTTCGAAAAAAGGATCTTCGATGAGGTCACAACAGAACGACAATTTTTTAAGTTTTTGCCGAGCTTTCGACGGTTATATCGTCATCATCAGGGCCTATTTATTTTACAAAAATATCGCAGTTAGAACATGTGATATTATTAAAAAAAAAAATTACAAAAACAATTATTTTTCTTACTTTAACTCGATGAATGTTGAAATATTTAACTTGAAAACAAGAAACTGCATTTATGATAAGATTATGTAAAACTAGGTGAAGTTCAATACCTAAACATTAACAATATGGGATTAATAAAAAATAAAAAACACAAAATATAAAAAGAAAGTTAAAAAATTATTATTTTTAATTAATTCCATACTGTTAATGTTTAGATACTGAGTTTCTGCTAATTTTCATCTCAGCTTGAAGTTATACTTCGTTTTACTTATTAAATCGATTATATTTAGTGATCTATTGACCAAATTACTTTTAATTAATTAATCTTTTTATGTAAGGTTTTTGGTTGAAATGAAAAAGTTAGTGCCACGAGCGGGAGTCGAACCCACGACCTTCGGCTAAATACGCCCCAGCTCTAACCACTTGAGCTACGACACTGACTTCGATCCACTAGGATACCAGCATCCCATTTGAACCTACAACCTTTCGAATTTTCCCTCCTTTTTGCCATTTTTCAAATGTCGTGTAATCAGGATTCGATTCTCGGCGACATATGAAGTGACCACAGGGAGCTGTTAGCGAAGTTATACTTCGTTTTACTTATTAAATCCATTATGTGGTCTGATTGACCAAATTACTTTTTTCAAATAATTAATATTTTTAAGTAAGGTTTTGGTTGCAAAGTTAGTGTCAGACCTTCGGCCGGAGTTTTTTAAACCTCGCAGAGCTCATATGTAAAAATAATTTTTCTTGTAACTGAATATAACCTGTATAAAAGTAAATAAGAGTTAGAGTATTACTCAAGGATGGGAAATGGGAGAAAGCATAAAGACGGATTCCAGACGGTCCTGAGAAGTGAATCAGGAGAGTGAAGAGCGACTGGAGCGGAGAGTGGCTAAGGGTAAAGTCAATTGCTAAGTGACTGAGTGGCAAAGACCAAATTCAAAACTGAGTGGCAATCGCCGAGTGGTATTAGAGTGAAGGGAACATAAGAGCTACCTCTCTTTTTTCCCCCAGACGGTTCATCGCTCGGTTGGTAATGTGCGTTTACTCTTTTGATCATCATCACTAATTCACAGAAACGTTTTTGCTATTACTTGTAGATACTAAAATTCCAAACCCTTCAAATGTTTACAGGCTGAATCGTTTTAAAGTTATCAACATTTTGGTCTTTTGAAAAAAAAGTTTAGAAGAATTTCGAAAACGCATTAGCAATTTTATCGATTTTTATAAAAATTTGTATTCAGGCATTCTTTTATAAACAAAAAACTTCTATAATTTTTGTCTTCATAATATATGATATATTATACTATTTAACTAAGTGACTAAATCACAGAGTATGTACTAGGTCACAATTTATAATACTATGACTTGCTGCAACATACAATTTTCACACAGAAATAAAATTTAATGTAAAACCGTTTTTTTGGCTCCAAGGGCCCATTGACAAGAACGCTTCGACAAACGTCAGTATTTTTTACCTAGTATTACAATAAAAAGTTTTAATAAAATCAGCCATCTCACCCTCACGTATTCTTCCTTTATCATAAATCACAAAACCTTCTTTATTAACGTATATTAATGAAAATATAACTTTTTATTTTATAAACTAGCATAGTTTAATAAGAGACATGCGATGCTATTAGAATTTATACGATTTTTGTTTGAATGGTGTAAGACAGTCAAAGTCATTTCCTGAAAAGTTCTTGACTCACAAGTAAATCCCCTTTTCTAAAGGGCGTGATGTGACTCTCAAATCGATTCGGATTATGTTCTGAAATGAATCTGAATGTTTACCTACGAGTTTCGTATTTGACTCGCAAGGATTACACCCCAGGGTAATATAAACATTGTTCCATTATTCATGAGATTTTATACATACGATATAAAATTTATATTATTGGAATTTTTAAATAACTTTATGTGAAAAATTGATGATTTTGTATGATTAGGCTAAACCCTCATGACTTATGAGTATTGCGGAAGTGTTGGTCTTAAGCGTTATTTAGGTATATGTTATTTTTAATATTGTACAACATTATAATTGCTACTTGTTCATCCATAGCTGGTTTTATTTAAAAAAATTTAAGAACATAAATTATAAAAATTTACCATCTGTTGAAGGAAATTGAGTAAGACAAATCTATCATTATAGAAAATTGTCGACTTATTTTCCCCGACAGTAATGAATGTCATATTTTTTCCAATTGTCGTAAAGATACGGTAATAAATTTAAAGGAAGATTGAGAAGTTAATCCCCTGAGTTTGACAGTTAATTAGGAACAAGTTGGCCTGTTAGTTAAAAGTTTTCCGTCCGACCTCGACACCGGGAGTGGATACTCTCGATTTTATTTGTGCACCGACGCCCTGTTCGACTCTTAGGGGCGAACTTTACTCGAAAATGCAAAGCGATCGTGAACTTTTTCTCCGGGGGATTACCAATTCAAACCGGGTTGTTAACAGTTCAAAAGTCCATCGATAGTCTGATGGCTTGGACGTCGAGGAAATTGCGAACCCGAGTGTAATTCGCTGAAGTTTTAAATCGTAAAACTGGTTGGGAAAACAAAAATTTCATTTTATCACCTACTGTATAAATGAATTGTTTACTAACGTAAACAATTTTTGAAATTATTTCATCGTATTTTGTACAACTTATAATTTACAATGTTTCTCAAATTTTTTCAGATCCAAACTTTAAAAAAAATTTATTACCATAATTTTCATTAAATCAATAAAAAATAAAAGGTATTTTTAAAACTTTCATTAAGAAACTTTCCAATCCAATCCAAGTGTGCTTTAATTTCATTACCCCCAGACCAAACAAACCACTTTAAAACGTCTGTTCTATAAGTTCATGAGGAAATCCTTTGTATACGGTCTGCCAGGAGTTTGTCATTATATCAGAAGTACTGTACAGAATTGATAGGAATGTTTGCAGTGAAAAGAGAATGGGGCCAAGGATGCTGCGTTGCAGAACCCGCTTCGGCACAGTGGTTGAA